AAGTTTATATTTCAACTGTAAAATGTCTATTTCAGTTAAAAAAACAAGAGATCTATATAGAAAAATGTTGGCTTTGTTGGGTTATATGTAAAAAAAAATTAATACTGGAAAATTTAGATATTGTCCTATCTATCTATTGTTCTCTGATTATCACTATCAGCCTCAAGAATCCATTAACAATCAAACTTTACTGCTGTATACATTGATATAGTGCTATTGTTTTATCTGCGTGAATGTCTGCTTAGATGTCGCAAAGGAAGCTCCTTGTTGACTCTCACTTTCCCCACCGAGCCTCGCTGATTGCAGCAGAACAGGTGCTCGGGCTTCAAAGTCGTCCAGAGTTTCTGTTTGTGGAGATGGCTGTGATAGGAGCCCGGCTCTGCAACACTAGTGGTTGATCTCCAGGAAAAACACAGACTCACACCTTCATCAACACACACATCAACACCATCATTAACTCTCAGTTGAATCAATATCCACATCTCTCGGGGTTCGTTATAAGCAGAAAGGCAGCTGTTTATCCGACCAGACAGAAGGACAGAGGAAGCAGGAGAGAGAAAGGTGATCCCCCCACTAACACCACCACCACCACCACCACCCCTCCTCCTTCTCAAGTCTGTTATTACGACGACTGCCAACACAAAGTGAGCCATTTAGTCAGCAAGTATCAAGCCTTATAATCTTAATTTCCGTAGAACAAGTGAAAAGCCTGCCCGTGGGGTGTGATTACTTCATGATAATCATCAAAACAAGTGAAACTCGAAGAACGGAAAGAATTGTCGGTATGTCAAAACAAGAGCAGGGCATTTGTATCACAGCATCGAGACTTGAAACAAGCTTATTGCTTTTTTTTGCTACATACATTTCCAATGCGTATAACAGGGAAATGGCTGAGTAAAGAGTCACCGAATGTCCTTAAATGGGTAGAAATAGTTCAGGAAATGTATGTCACGGAACGGTTTCCCTGAGATACAGCACTAAAAAATTTGAAAAATACTAGAAAAACTGGAGACTGGAGTGATTTTATTACTTGATATTTGTTTGGAGAGCTTTTTTATTTCTTTCTGTACAAAAGCTAAGAGAATAGACAGATCATAAGGACCCACATACCTTGGTAACCCAGCTTCTTTGTATTTCTTTTTCTTTTACACAATGACCCTGTCTGTTGTCTGTCTGCTTGTTTTTGCCAAAAAGTTAGAGAGTTAAAGTAATATTTCTGATGCACTCTTTGTACAATCAGTCACTTCTTACCACATGGTTGGTCCTGTCTCTGATGGGCTGGTATCCCGGTGCGGGAACACACTGCTCAGCGTGCCCGTTACAGAAGCAGCTTCCCTTCACTATCAGGTCGTAGATAGCAAAGTGTCGGGTGGGAAGAGCCTCGTGTGCGGCGGCGTCTTTGGCCTGGCACGGACACGACTGATGCTTCAGCAGTCGGATTCGGATGTTGGTGACCCTCAGCTGCTGCTGGCCCTCCGCCCCGAATGGATCCAGGGACTCCCACTTTGGGAGGGTACGGTAGATCACCTGTTAGTCAGAGAGGGGGAGAGGGGGAGAGGGAGAAAGAGAGAAAGAGAGAAAGAGAGAAAGAGAAAAAGAGAAAAAGAGA